AGTAATCTTCCATGGACCAAAGCGCTCCTGGGCATATGAACCCTGCGCCCTGATTGAGGACCCGCTGCCCTCTCTTGAGCGTGCAGGGCTAAACGCGCTCACGATGCCGTGTCATCACGCCCTCCACGGCCACGCAGACACGCGTAAATAATTCTAATGCGCTTTTTCATCAGCGCTCGTTGATTACCGCATTCGTACTTTGAATTTCCTCGTCATTTTAACGTCATCTTTTTATAAAATAAAAATATACTGTTTTATGTATAGCTGCCGCAACCTGTAAATTCTCCATCCCCGAGAAGTGTTGTGGCTTTATATGGCGGTGGGGGGGGGAGGTTCAGTCGATGCAGTAAAACAAATGCAAATTGGCAGATGTTGCACCCTGAAAAAGCAAAAAGCCCAGAATCTCCAGGTGTGCATCACGCGATCAAATGCGTACGTGCGCCACTACATATAAATATTGAGGGACGTCATAAGCTCTTAAAAGGGACGTTGAAAAACATTCGCTTCAACCTGATGTTGGGAAGGTGCTGAAAGTCATAGAAATGTCTTTCACGTTGACCATTTTAAACAATAAAATTACGTTGAGTTTTTACGCAGGTTAATATCACGATCTAAATTTCATGTATTGAACATATTTTATATTATTAAGTATTTCACAATTCTTCTTGCAGTAATGTTACGAGGTAAAATAAATATTCCTCTCCATCTCCCTCAGCCAGCAAAGCATAATGTAGAATACTGGAAAATATGTTTGTCCATCATCACGTGAACAATCAAGGTGTAGTTCACAGGTTTGTTGATGGCCATATAAGCCCAGCAAGGTTCAATCCACCAAGCTCTCTGCCAGCACAACACATCCAAAATAAACATCATCTGAAGGATTTGGCCACTCAATTAGAAGATTTTGGCTGACGCAGATGCAGAGCAAAAACGACAGTTTCACATTCAAGTGGTCGAGCAAGGCATAACTGCGTCAGGAGCAGCGGCGTTTGTCATCGGTGCGATGTCTCTCTCCGTGTTTTGTTGATCGGGCATTGCGTCGTTATACGTTGTACGGCCTGTTCTGGATGACCACAGTCGCACACTACTGGAGAGTTTTAAATGTTCCATTCGTGCATTAGCTATCCGCATCTGCCGCCATGGTTTGTGCAGTGGATGCGATTTAGGGTGGAACGTGAGGAGCGCAAGATGGCAGCCTTCACGCAGCCCGCTCTGTTAAGTGAGAAATCACGACGAATTCCATCAACGCGGCGACCGGACATCGGTCATCGATCTCCCCGTTTCCAGAGCAACAACAACACAATGAGTTTTGCAAGAACATATTGTGACGTTTATAACCAGAAAATTTAGTTAACAAAAAAAAATTGTGATTTTTTTGTGCCCCATTTTTTTAAAATATCTCTTCAAAAGTTTGTACCTGGAGGATGTAAAGAAAGCTGAATCCACAAATGACATCGGAAACCCACGACTGTCGCCTCTTTGCCAACCCAATAAATTGAGCCGACTAAATATTTAACATGTCTTGTTTCTAAAGTTCACTCTACGAAAGTTCACAATGGACAGGTTTTGAAGAGTGCCGAGGTTAAGTATGAAACGTTTGGGTTGACTCTCAATGTGCAAGCACATTTATGGGATAGTGCGAGACAATGAAAAGCAATCAAAGCCCGCACGCAGTTAACGGTAAAGTAATAAGGCCGTGGGAAGGGACAAGTAACACTCAAAGAGGGTATCTGCGTCAAAACATCGTGACGTTAAATAACCATGCAATCAAACCATTGTCGCAGAAGAAGCAGGGAGAAAATGTTAATTTCATTAGCCTGAACACTTAATATGCAGCAGGCATCCCGCACTAAGACCCACCCTAGCTCCTAGTCCCCCCATAACATCACCTTGCCTCCCACTGGCCAGACGCTCGTTAAAATGTCTCTCAAACCTAATCTGCGCGTCCCAAGAAAAACAAAAAAACACAGGTGGACTCTCCTCCGTCAGCCTTGCAAAAAACTGCAACTCGAAAGAGCAGATTAACTAACCTCTCGTCACCGACCCGCATTTATACTTTAATCACTACTCCGCCGCTTTCGCAAGAGGAATTTCTTACGAGGCCGCAGGACTAAACAGCCACCATCGCCACGGGTGCGAGAGCCCCCTTTGTTAAACGACGTCTCATTCGCTCAATGGGTTAAAATGCAATTACCGGGCCAAGCCACAGCAATCAGATTGGTCTAATGTGCTTTAGTCCAAAGAGCCCACAGAGGAGGTGATTCGCTGAGAAACCCCTCCCTCCGCTCCCCCCACACCCCCCCCCCCCAACTAATTGGTAACACAGTGGCATTCTGTCTCTCATTCATTAACAATAGCAGTGCGCGCGTCTGACCAGTGTTTCACGGTGGCCGACGTCTGGTATAGTTGAGTCCGAGGGTATAATGCCGACACGAGCTCCGACTCTCACGCCTTGTTGTAGTGATTCCTCCACGAGGAAGGGTAAAGTGGCAGTTCAAGGGGTCATCGCAGACAATGTCAACGCACGTGGCTGTCACGACCTCGCTTCTGGCAGATCTTACAGATGAAGTGTACGTCTGTTTAGTATGTGTGTGTGTACGTTGAACTTCTTTCGCACCGCACGTAGCCAACCGTGCTCATCGGCGGTTTTAATGTTCATTCTGTTTTGGAACAGAATCAACATGAAACACACATTTTTCGATTTAAAGCTTTCGTGACTGCGGCGATTGATATTCTTGGTTCTTTCGGTAAAGTCACGTATTGCAATAATAAAGTAATAAAATAAAATAATACAATTTTCACGACGTTTCGATTGCAAACACAAGCAATCATCATCAGGTGTGAAAAACCACAGAATTTTCTTACTGTGGTTTTTCACACCTTATGATGATAGCTTGAGTTGCATTTTCTTGCTGTGGTTTTTCACACCTGATGATGATTGCTTGTGTTGCAATCGAAACTTAGCGAGAATTTTATTGTTTCATTTTATTATTTCCCTTCTACGTGACTTTACCGAAAGAACCAAGAATATGAAACACACAATTACAGCTTTGGAAAAATGTTTCTGCTATATAAGCAAGAATTGGAATCTCATTAGTTCACCAATTGCAATGATGATAACCCTCTTATTGCGGAAAGTCTCAAAGTGTTTCGAGAATTTGTTGAAGAGAGTCTCTCTGCCTTCGGATATTCGTCCGGTTTTTGTTGTCGCGTAAATAAGTTTCACGTGGCACACAGCAGACTTGAGCAATAACCGGTGGGATTCCCACGCAGATGAATGGTGGCCATGTGCAAAAAATTACCCGTGACAGGCACGCGGGATCACCGGAATAATTAAACAAAAGTTGCCGATAAGTCACCCGCCCCCCCAAGCCCTCCGCTCAGTCCGCACTAAAATTAACTGGAGCACGCCATGACGCTCCCATTACTACCAGTCACAGGCCGCACGGCACCGCCTGCGACGCAACGCGATGTCCCAAACACTCAACCAAATTGCGCTTTTGTCCAATCTCCGCGTCGTAAACATCTTGAAGATCAGCGCGGTGCGTGTTGGTGTATTTTGCTCAGCCCATTTGTAAACGTCTGCTCGCAACTTTTAGATAAATCTCTCTGTCTCTCAAAAAATCTTACTCGTGACTCTCTTGCATGCACTTGTAACTCGATTGCATGCACTTACGACTATTGCATTTCCAATTTCTGTGGACCTTCCCGTTCCTATACCTGCACCGGTTGCAGCTGATTCAAAACGGAGATGCCCAATTACAACATGCGGGGGTGTAAGAACAACGAGCACATCCCACTGGTTCTGGCAATACAGTGATACCTCGGTTCACGAACTTAATTCAGTGAACTGACTGGTCGCAAACCGAATTGGTTGTGAACCGAGGCACATTTTCCCATAGGATTCAATGGAAATCCGGTTAATCCGTTCTGACCTTTTTTTTGGTTTTTGAAGCACAAAAATATGAAACAAATTACAATACACATTAGTACTGTACAGTATAGTAATGTATAAAGAGAGAACACTAACCTTGCTTGAGATGACTTCAGTAAGCACTCAAACGTGTGAACTGTACAATACAGTAAGTACAGTATTGTACAGTACAGTAGTACAGTACAGTACTGTATGTGCTAAAAAGCACACCAAAAAGCAAAAAGTCACTGAAAGTGTCTTCACAGTACTCACAGTACTTCTTTCTGCGTCTCTTCTTCTCTCCACGATCTTCCTACAGGAAGTCACGACCATGTGACAGCCTGGAAATAGCATTAAAATGGCCGCGGCTCCTGTTCGTGAACCGAAGCGGAGATTCGTGAACCGGAGCATATTTTTATGAACTTTTCTGTTCGTGAACCGAGTTGTTCGTGAACAGAAGCGTTCGTGAACCGAGGTATCACTGTACTGCATGGGCGGATGGGTAAACACACGGCTTTATTTTAATAAGGTAAAAACAATCCCTATGATCAAGGCACATTCAAGGGTACGCGCCTCAACGTTTGACCGAGGCTGCAGAAACCCACCCGGGCACTGCGATCAGCAGACTCAGCCTCCTGAAGGTCCCACATCAACTCCCCCCAGCCCAGCTGTTCACCAGGAGCACAGCTTCCACCAACTTCACTCCGGCACGGTGGTACCCATCTCCCAATGGAACATCGGTGAGGCAAAGACAAAGATCCCACGTGTAACCTTAACAGACTGTTGGGGCAAGTGCTGTTAGCGAGTCGCACCTATGAAGGCCGGCACAGCACACGAGGGGGTGGGTGGCCAGCATCACGCCCGGCCGCCTTTGTCTCCCCATTGGCGATGTTTACACACCGCACCAGGTACTCATTTGAGGCTCAGTCGACCTAGCGGAGGCCCAGGACCGGTTCAGACAATCGTCACTGGTGTTGACCGTGAGCGGGAATCGAACTCGGGCCGCCGGGTTCGTACTATCGGTGAGGCACGTACACACACACACAACCCAGCCCGGTCCCCATACGCCGCTCGCGCCCGCACGTACCCGCTTGTGCGCCAGTAGGAGGCAGTTGGAGTGCTCGTGCTCGCACGCCAGCTCGTAGTCGGGCAGCATCGTGGCCAGCTGCTGCACGAAGCCCACCACCTCCTCGTGCCAGGGCACATTCGCCATCGTCAGGCTGCTGGCCGAGCTCTCACCGCAGTACGTCACGCCCTGGCGGGGGGCAGAGCACGACCCGTGGCCGGTGAGCGAACAAAGCGCGCGCGGGGTCGACCGAGATTCCGCGCGCGGGCACGTGCCACACGCTTTTGGAATTGCGGCTGTGCGTGCGTGCGTGCGTGCAGGGGCAGACGCCGCGCGTCCATGTAAGTGCGCAAGCGTTTCCGTCGGTGTTTATCTTTCAACCTTAACGGGTTGAATTTTTATCGTAAACGCGTAAAAATAAATCATGACGTTTGTCAACGGCATTGCATTACAACTGCAAAGAAGAACCCGGCAGGCTGACACTCGTGGGCGGGGGCTCTTCTTTGGAGCAGAGATTGTGGTGGGACCAACGAGTACAATTTTTCAGTTTTAAAAAGTAACATTTCCCAGTTGTTATCAGGGCCACAACGATGTGAAGTGTGTTCTTTAACAATGAAGTGTCTCGATTTAAAGCTTTCGTGACTGCATGGATTCATATTCTTGGTTCTTTCAGTAAAGTCACGTAGAAGGGAAATAATAAAATAATAAAAATAAACCTATTAAATTCTCACGACGTTTCGGTTGCAACACAAGCAATCATCATCAGGTGTGAAAACCACAGCAAGAGAATAAGAAAAAAACGCCACTTTTTTCAAATTTTCTTATTGTGGCTTTCACACCTGATGATGATGATTGCTTGTGTTGCAATCGAAACGTCGTGAGCATTTTATTGGTTTATTTTATTTATTTTATTATTTCCCTTAACTTTAACGAAAGAACCAAGAATATGAAGTGTCTGCGCCCTCTGTGTGCCCTGAACAAGGTCCACTGCCTGATAATGTCGCCCAGTATTTTTCCATTAATGACAAATGGTGTTCATTATGTACCATGCCGTGTTCACCATTTCACACATTAACTATCTTGAGTGTCTTCACTATCTAACCAGGTGGCAAGAGCACGCAACTCAGGTTTCTTTTATTTGTGAGTTCAACTCCTGGTTCTTCTCAGGATGACCCATCATCCTCCCGGAGTGTATAAAATGCCTGTGGGCTACAACGGAGAGCATCTATGTCCCACACTTTGCTCTGGCAGGGGGGACGCTCCACGCGGCGTGGGAAAACGGCGACTAAAGCGACCGCCGCCTTGCAAGCCACGCCGACGGACGGCTCTCCGATGCGCCGCCACGTTGAGCCGCAGTGCTGTTTGGCACCATGTCTGACGTTTCGCTCCGTGTGCCGGGAACTCCTTCGGGAACGCAACTCGTGAGGAACGTCAGGCTGGCGTAGGCAACAAAACGAAATCTGAGGGGTCCCGAGAGACTTTAAAATTTCAGTTGTGGAAAAGGAAGCTTTCCAGCACGCACTTGGGGAGCGAAACGTCGGGGCGTCGTGCCGATGGACGCGCGGCACAACCGCGAAAAACATACACGGCAGTCTCCTGCAAAACGGTCGTCTCTCACGCACCGCGGACCCGCGGCCGAACGCAGAGCTCACCTTGACCTCGATGAAATCGGGATTTCCGAGAGCAACCAGGTTGGCGTACGCGGTGACCTCCTCCACGTTCCACGCCTTCACCAGCGTAAGGCGGTACACAGTGCGCTGGCCCTGTAGAGAAGCACGCACGGCGACACGCTGCGCGGCGCTCCGTCACCCACTGCCCCGTCGTGACCGGCGCGTTCTGCGCGGAGTTTCACATCAGGCGTGAATTGGTCGGTCTCGCGTCAGCATTTCAACGCAACGAGGTTTGAACGCTCCTTTGGCCACGCGCAAAATCGCCCACTGTGCTCTTTCAGAGGTGCCGTGATAAAAAAAAGCAGTTGCATTATGTATTCGTGAAGATGCCAACATCTTGTTGAAGTGCATTCGGTCCGCTGAGCGACGCTTAGAGCCCGCACATCCTGACCAGCGGCAGACTTTCAAGCTCAGAAAAAAATTCGAATTCAAGTTATGGGATGAAGATGAGAAACAAAAAAAACCTCTCGATCGTGTAAGAGTCTCTGAAATGTTTGCTGCTGCGTGCTTTTCGAATTTTGTGTTTAAAGAGGCAGTGATTTCTCTTTGCACAGGGACCTTTGGCTGCGCACCGCACGATGCCCCCTCCCCCCCCCCGTGCACGTGTGTTGTCAATAGTCAATTAAACATAACTGTACCCGAGTTTAATATCGGTTAAACAATCTCTGAACGGATGAAAAAACACGTAATTTCATGATCACACTGTTGCCAAGACGTTCAGCTTAGACATCCACTTTGGGAACTGCACCCGTCCCCCGCTGTGAGTAAGCACGTATACATTCACACTTTTACTATTTCCTCGTATCGCTGCAGAACCTTGCGGGGAATCGTTAAATCAAACAACCCGCTGTTTAAATTTCGATTTAAAGCTTTCGTGACTGCAGGGATTCATCTTCTTGGTTCTTTCGGTAAAGTCACGTAGAAGGGAAGTAATAAAATAATAAAAATAAAACATAATAAAACAATTCTCACGACGTTTTGGCCACAACGCAAGCAGCCGTCCTCAGGTGAAAACCAGGTCCGTCGAGGCGACAGAGTCTGAATGAAACAGCACACGAGCTTGGAGCATATATATAAGCTGGGCGCATTGACAAAGGAATTTGCATATCAAAAGGAATTTAGCATGTTTATGGGAAATGCAGGAATGTGATTAGTACTGCATATGCATGTGCATTATGCAGGATTAACAGCATCAAAGGGAGCTGCAGTTACTGCTGCTGCAGCTGTTGCTGCTGCTGCAGCTGTTGCTGCTGCTGCTGCACTTGCTGCTGCTGCTGCACTTGCTGCTGCTGCTGCACTTGCTGCTGCTGCTGCAGTTGCTGCTGCTGCTGCACTTGCTGCTGCTGCTGCACTTGCTGCTGCTGCTGCAGTTGCTGCCTTATCCATTTTAATATAACCCGCTGTTTACGCGGCCGTCAAAACGCTTCATCGGGCAATTTCCATCCGAGGGCTGAGCGAGACGATGATCCGTCACCGCCGTTGTTATTTCCCTCCGAGAAGACTTCCGCTCGTTAAACGTGGCGCCCCCCCTCCAAGCCCATGCCCTCCTGCCGTCGTGAGAACACGCCGTGTCGACGAGGCGACCCTCCTCCAGCGTGGGCGTCCCCGCGGCCCAAGTTCTCGCGGTGCCGTCCCACCAACTTCTTCCCGAGCCGCTCGCTCCTCACAGCTCCCCCTCCCCCCCCGTGCCGTTCGCAGTTTAATCAACAGCGTCCTTGCGTCTCGTCCGCAGCCAATGCGTTGCACGGAGAGTGACGGGGATTTGAAGGCGGGAAGATGAGGTCTCCGTCACAACCGCCACAAATAATGGCCGGTAATCAGGATACTTATTTATACCGGATGAATCCGATGAGCTATGAAGCTATTTTTTCGCAGATGTCCAGTCGCGATGGGTCAGAACGTTGCAACAACAAACATTGCACAAACACGAGAAGAGGGCAAAGTACAGGAGAGGTAAACAATCACTTAACATATATGCAAATTAAACTGAACAGGTAAAGTCCTACTTCGCTATTAACTTGTTTTTCAGAAGTGACCAGGCCACAACTGATAGCTGAACAAAGTGGGCCATCACGTGGAAATTGATAGCAGCCAAATACTCTAAATATACGGTGATTCTAAATGTGGAGGGAAAAACCGGAGGGACCCGGAGAAAAATCCACGCGACCACAAGGAGAGAGACACGCAAACTCCAAATGTACAGGCATCGTCAGCGAAGCGACGCTCACAACAAGAAGCGGCGGGCCGGGCGGCTAAAACACAGCAAGTTGGCACAGTAGGGGGCACAGGTGGTGCATCGGCCCAGTCATCTAAGTCAGTCAACCCATGGCACCTGGTTCTGTCCCGTGACCTCCTGCCGGCAGGTGTTCAACACTTCACGTGGCCTCAAGGTGTACACAGCCTGGCACAAGCGCCATGGTGAAGTCACCGCCACTTAGTGGCGAATGGCGGTTGTTGCTGTGCGTGTGTTTGTGATGCGTGTCGACAAACCCAATGAGGGGAGCATGAAAAGGCTACGAATCTCTCCCATCTTCTATATCAGCCACAACAGGGACCCGTAAATGTACGCCTTTACACCAAAGTGCAAAATTAACCCACATACTCACTCAGCAATGCTCGCGAACAATAAGTGATCAAAAAAAGTGCCACCGTTTAATTACATTTAATTGCAAGCGGTTATATAATCTGTTAACTACAAGTAGACCACCCGTGGAGAATACGGCAGTTATGCACCGCATCAAAGGTTTACAAAGCGTTTTGTCCATTAGGCATGAATTGAACAAAAAAAAGCATCCTCTTTGCATTCCTACAGTTTTTGCGGTTTGTTAATGTCCGCGCAGGGCCATCCGTGCGGCACAATTAAGCACAGTGCCTTACGAGCAATAATCAGGCGCTGCGGCTTTATGCGGCAGCTCAAAAAGCCAGGCCCAAACTGACCACACGAAGCGGGACACCGTGAAACTTTGCCAGATTAACTCGGCATTTCTTGATCTGCCTGGGAAACGTGCGCGACTGCCGATATTATCCCTCGCACTCGCTTTCTCCACTCAATTCTCGCTGCGGCCGTTCACCCGGCCTCTCGTTATGAATCTCCGCGTCACGAGGACAATCCTCGTCATCGCCCCCCCCCCCCCCCCCAACAACGTTTGCAGACGCTTAATAAAACTAGACGTAACTTCAAATTAAACGTATTTAATCGTGATTTGAAGCTTTCGTGACTGCAGTAATCCATACTCTTTCGTTCTTTCGGTAAAGTCACGTAGGTAGAAAAAAAGAAAATCCCACCTGATGACGGACGCTTGTGTTGCGCCCGAAACGTCGCGATTTATTTTATTTTATACCTACGTGACTTTACCGAAAGAACCAAAGTGTATAACGTATTTATTTTCCGTGTTGAATCAACAATGTATCGGGAAAGAATCAGAATGAGCGAGTGAGAAAGGACGCTCCTCACAGGAGGACACGGACATATTTGACGTCCAAGGGGAGAGCAAAAAAAAAGAACTACGAGTGTGACCGGTGATTTGCTCAGAAGAGGGTCCCCCCCCCCCCCCCCCCCCCCGAGTGTGACCTCGCAATCTGGTTTTCACTGAGGAGGACAAAAGCTACGGGCTCGGGCTGAGACGTTTTGAGGACTGGCATCGCGGGACCGTGCGTGGAACGGATCAACAAAACGGGGCCGTGCGGTGCCAAGCCAGGCACGGCAGAGGTCGCAAACGGGTTTTGAATCCTTACCCGTACCCGTACCCGGCCGCACCAGGGTCGCAAACGGGTACCCGTACCCGGTCGTACCCGTACCCTACCCGTACCCGGCCGCACCAGGGTCGCAAACGGGTACCCGTACCCTACCCGAAATGAGTGACAAACGGTTACTCACCGGTGACTCACGGCCTACCCGTACCCGGCCGCACCAGGGTCTCAAACGGGTACCTGTACACATGCATCTATTCGTCTTGCGTGTGTGCACGTACGCAACACGCGCAAGGCGCACACACGCGAATGGGCAGACACACAGAACACACGCTCGGTTGCTTGCGAGCGTCCCCTCCTCCCCGGCATGGCACAACAGGGATGCCACTCAACGAAAGCCTTCTCTCGCTTGTGTGCTCGCCGACCGTGCGTGTCGACAGCGGGTCCTTACGTAAACGCTGCTCCCGTTCAAAATCGGAGTTGAATTTGTGTGCAGACGGGTCAAAATGTGGGGGAGATTCTCGTGGTGGCTGATCGCGCAAAGCCGCAGTTTGGCAAATTTGGCCAAATATTTCAGTTGTGCGTGCACACATGCAGCAGCCTGTGCATTTAAATTCGACATTTTAATCTGAGTTTAAATGATTTTCATTCACCTGCATAATTTACAACAGGTGTTATTTTCATGTTTGGTGCCTTCATGTTGATCAAATGGGACCATATTCAATGCCAGCTACCCGCTGTGTGTTTCAAGAATAAATGAAGGTTAAAAACGCGTGAAAAAGTTGACGCAAACTGTGTTTTGCCCAGCCTGTTTTGCTGTTGGCTTTCATCCGCATATTCATCACCGTTACGTCCCTCCAAAGGTCGCAGAGCATTTTAATGATGACTTTATGCAGAGTAAAACATATTTATCTTCGTGGCCATTTATGCCACATTGTAGGACATTTTCGAGCAAATATAAAGAGCTGTTTTTCCTGAAAAGTATCATTTGCATTCCATTCCGCATTGTAAAAGACATTTCCCTCTTAATGGTGGACATCAGGAGAGTCAGGAGCAGAAGGACAGTTTAAAAGGACCTTGAATCCACGGCTCACCGCTCCTTGTTGGTATGTATATCGATCTTAAGAGAATTCCAAAAAAATGTACACCTCCAACGGAAAATTAATCAATAGAGGCAAGGCAAAGGCTTGTTGTCCATCACCCGATTTTTGGGGCCATGGAGATTATACCGCATTGATCAGCTCTAATGCTGCGTGATCCGCTTATCAGGAGGTGGTGATCATCATTGGCCGCATAGATTATGGGCTCGATTATTCAAATGGCGTGTGAAAAAGGCCTTGAATTGGCTGCTGCGCGATGCCACGCTATGTCAGGAAGGAGAAAATGTGTAATCCTGGCTGCTC